CCGGGGGGGGGGGGGAGCCCGGGGGCGCCGCGGAACCCTGGCCTCCTCCTGGCCTCCTCCTCCAGACTTTCCTCCGCAGAAGAAAAGGCCCAGAACTTCCTCCCCACGGCTCCGGGAACAGCGTGGCCTCCCAATCCCCCCCTTCATTATTTAAAGAGGAATGACTGATTCTTCCCCTCTCCCTTCGGGGTTTGGAGAGAAGGAAAACAGGTCCGAGTGAAGGGCGGGCCTGCCGCTGAGCCAGCACCGCGGTGCCTCCACGCTGCCCCCTCACAACCTCACTCCCTCATACATACTCATTTCCTCCCCCAAATGTGCTTTACAAATAACTGCCACAGAACCAAAGCTCTGTCTTCTGATTTTACATTTCCATCCGGGCCGTGGCTTCTCTACGGTAGTTACTCGAATTTCCTTTCGGTTTGTGTTGCTTTACCTTCGATGTTTTGAAGTTACCTTCGCGGTCTTTGGACCGCGGCCTTGCCAGTGCCCCTCCCCGAAAGCTCTGTGAGGGGCAGGCGAGGGGGTCCCCCAGCCTTCCGATCAGCCTGCACAGCGGACACGCCCAGCGATGGACGCTGCTTGGGGGGCAGGCACCCCGAAGTCCCTCCCGGAAGGTTACAAACAGCGTGACGATGCCCAAAGGGAAGCAGGTACTGTTGAGTCGTCCCCTCTGGGGTTACAAACGTTTGACTCAGCCGTAGGCCGTCGCGAAGCTCATAAATAAGGTCGCCACCACCCTGGGTGGGAGCAGGGCCTCGCTTCCACGCTCTCAGAGCGGCTCACGAGTCCTCCCTGGGCCAAGACACTCAGCGTGACCTCGGTGCAAAACAGACCCCTGGCTCCGACCCTCCCGCCTCCTGCCGCCGTGCCCTGCAGGCCGTGACGCAGGAGGGTCCGCGGAGGGCTCCGTCCGTTCAGCAGCGCCAACACACCGGAAACCACAGGCACGGGCACCCCGAGGCCTCTGTCCGCAAACACGCCACCTACCCGCCCAACGCGGCTCCCGGGTCTGGCAGGAGGCGCGGGCCGGTCACCCCGCCGAGCCCGGCTGCCCCTCTGCCCTTATGCAGACAGGGGCTCCCCGCGCAGGGACCTGCGAACCTGCTCAGTCATCCGGGCTGGAGGCCGAGGGTGGACCCCCTGACCTCTGTGAGGTCAGCAAAGACACCCCACAAGTCGGCCCGAGGGAACCCCGTTTTCTTCGCAGCGCGGACAGCCAGGAGCCCAGGCCCCCCTGGGCGTGCGGAGAGGCCTGCCTCCCCCCCCCCCCAGGTGTTCTGAAGGAGGAAGAGCGCCGGAGCCGGGGTGGGGGGGAGGCCACGCGTGGGAGGAGACGGGCCAGGGGGACCCGTGGCCGCGGCGGCCCCCGCAGCAAGGCCAGGCAGGGGCAGCGGAAAGAGCAGCGGCGCCGGGCAGGCAGGCACCGGCGCCCCCGGCAGCGGTCAGTTCTGCCAGGGAGGTGAGCCCGGGGACGGGTAGGGGCTGGAGGCTGGGCACACACGGAGACAGAGACGGCTGCCTTGTGGCAGCAGTATTTCCGACCCCCCCCCCCCCCAGTGGTCACAGCCGACACCAGAGGTCCCTGCCAGGAGCCCCCACGGGACCGGCCAGCCGGGGCTGGGGGCTCCTCGGCTCCGAGATGGAGGGGGCCGGGCCCTGTGGTCCCGGTGCACACAGCACAGCCGGAGGTGTGCCTCAGACCAACTCTGGAGGAGCACAGAATGCCAGGGCGTCCCCAAAGCATCGGTGCCTCCGTCCTGACGAGCACAGACGTGACAGACCACATCCCTGGGAGCTCTCGGCGGGACCTCTAACCCCGGCCCTGCCACGTTGTCTACGCCCTTGACATAAACCACCTATTCGTTTTTAAACCCTAGACTCTTTGTCCAGTTCAGGGATAGCCCGGAACCAGTCGGAGCCCACGAGGGCCCCCTCGGGCACTTGTCTCTTACGGGGTGGGGGGGACTCATGGCCCCGCCCCTCCTGCCATCTGGACCCTGCTTTGACCCACCTCCCGCCCCCCCCCCTTTCCTGCGTCACCTCAGGCTTGTGAGGAGGGGACCGAGGACCACTCTGGCCGACTTCTCACCTCCTCACTCTGGCTCCCTTTTGCATGAACTCTGAGCCTCAGGGCAGGGCCAAGTTCCGACCCCAGAGAGCCAGCCCCACGTGCAGATTCTCCCCCAGCAACAAGTATCGGCCAAAGACGCAAAGGGGGGTCCGCAGCCCCGTGGAGGAAAACAGAGAGCTCCAGAAAGCTGCAGGTCTGGCACCCGTCAGCCGCCTTCAATCACTCGGGGAAGCAGCGGGGACCCCTCCGAGGGCCCGTGAGCGGGAAGCCCCCCACCCGTGCACGGCTACCAGCCCGCCCGGACTACGTCCACACGGGTGAGCAAAGCCGACCGGACACCCAGAGATCTCCCAGCTGGCGACACGCCTTCCTCGCCCAAACCCGCTGGCCACGGTAGAGCCTGGGGGCAGACGTGCCCTCCCTACCACCCACCCGTGATCGGAGGTGCTTCCAGCCCCTCTCAGAACTTCTCCCCGACAAGACGCCACTTCTCACGCCACTGACGAGCGTTAGCTCCCAGTCTGTCAAGGGCCCAGCTGATTCTGGAGCCAGAGTTGGTGGGAAAGACCCCTCTGGCCTCATCACCACTATTAATAACAATGACGTGAGGCCCCGTGTTGGAGCCTTACACTTCGCAAGTTCGCTCTCCCCACCGACAGCTGGGGGACCGGCTCGCAGAAGTTACATGGCTTGTCCGAGACCACAGCTCTGGAAGCGACCGAGCTGGGATTCAACCTTCACTCTGATTCCCTAAAACGATCCTGTTTGTGTCTGGGTCGAGAGGGGTAGCCGCCTTCCTCCTCCTGGGTCCACGGGCCCTGACACGGGAGACCCCAGGAAACGCTGCTTCCCGAATGACTCCATGCACAGACGGCAGACGGGAAGCCTGGCAGGCAGGGGAGCGGGTTAAAGGGAGCCTCGTTTCTGCAGCCCGGGCTGTCCCAGGGGCACACAAGGCAGCCACCTCACCAGCTGGGCCCAGCAGGACCTTCCTGGTCATAACCTCTCGTGCCGCCTTGAGCGCCAGCGGTGTAGAAGCGGGGGACACCCAGCCCGTTGGCCCCCTGACCCTTGCTCCACACCAGACCCCGCTTCCTCCAGCTCTGGGTGAGGCCCTCTCCCTGCCCTGGCCCCTCTCCCGCCAGTGGCAACCCTCCTGTGACATGAAGACCACGCGCACAGACCTGCCCCAAGCCGGGTCCTCCGAAGAGCTCCGACCCCGGGGGTCACTGGGGTGCTGGTCTCTCCCCTTCCCCCCACCTCCTAGTCCCGGGGCCTTCATCATTCTCCCTCGGTGACGGCTCCTGGTCCCCACGGGTGGCTGGAAGGAGCCAGAGCCCCGCCGAGGGGGACAGCCTCTCCCCCCCCCCCCGCCCCCCCCCCCCCCCCCCCCCAGGCGGCCCTGAGAGCTGCAGCCTTCGGGCATGACTAAGTGAGCTGTTACTGCCGGGAACCCCACTCACTTCTGCTCTCTGAGGGGCTCAAACCCCGTGCTACGGACATGCAGCCAGCTGGGGCGGCCCCCTCTGAGCAGCTGGGGCCCTGGGGGACCCTCTGCACAGAAGGAAGTCTAGGTCCTGGCTACTCAGGTGGCTTGACGGCTCTGCCCGTGCCCTGCTGGAGAGAGAGGCTGGGGACAGGGAAATCCGATCAGCACCTCCTAGGTTTTTGCGGCTGGATCTCAACAAGGAATGTGACAGCCCCACAGCAGCTGGGCCCAGCCTGAAACAGGCTCTATTTGAAACCTCCAACAGCTGAACCCCTCCCAGCCACCCCCTGCCCGAAATGACAAATAGGAAGAGAAATCCAAGGGACAGGCCAGCACGCACACATGCACTCACACACCCTCCTCCCCAACAACAAATCGGGGGTGAGGGGTAGAGTGGGAAGAAATCCGCTTGTCCAATGAGTGCCCGGGTCCCCCGAGCCCTCCAGCCCGCAGCACGAGGGCCCCCAGCAGGCCGAGCGTGGCAGGAACCCACCTGCCGGGAATCACCACCACCCCCCCCCACCTCCCCACCCCCGCCAAAGGCCATGATCTCCGAGCCTGAGGCTGAAGCCCAGCCACCAGCCGCCTCGGCTGCGCACACGCTCCACCTGACTGATCCGGGAGCCCTGTCAGCCCATCTGAGGGAGAGGTGCTCCCCGGGGCTCAGGCCACGGTGGCACCCACCTGCGCTGCTGGGGACACCTGTAGCCATTTGCGTCAGGCGGCAGCAGCTTTATTCTGAGTGCTCTCTCCCGAGGGAAAGGACCGCGGGTTCCCTCCGCCCGTTTTCGCCCGTGTCCCCCCCCCCCCCCCCCC